GCGAAGAACAGGTCATAACTTTCAAACCGTAAGTCGGAATTGGACGAATTATATATGAAAATTGGCTATCTCGACGAGACGGAGCCGACCAAACCCACCCCATAGGGTTCAGTTTGCTCCGTCAGTTTTGTCAAATTCCTTACGGTTTGAGAGATATTTGTGTTTTAATATGAAGAGACCGTCAATTTGTAGTCTCAAGAGCGTTGCAAAGATCGTCACCTTGTAACCTTTGTCTTAGCTCCTTGAAAATATAAGAGTCATCAAATTGTAACTCCAGATGTTGATTGTGAAGGCTGTTGAATTAGAGCTTTCATCAGTTGTCGTGAAGGTCGTCAGATTGTAACCTTTAGCGATCTACATGAAAGTCCTCAAATTGTAGCCTTATGGATATCATCAGATTATAACTTCCGTCATCGGTGTTTGATGGGGATCAGCTATCTGTTGTGATTTTTAGACAGCCTACATTGCTTAAAATAAATTGACCTCTCTCTTGTAAAATCTCTCCAAAAACTCCCTCCTCTAGATCTCTCTTTTTCTGCAGTCGAAAAAACCCTCTGTCCTTTTTTCTTCACCTCTACATTTTTTCCCCTTCTAATGCATTTTTTTTCCTTTTCAGCCCACTAAAAAAACCCTCAGCCAACTAAAACCCTCACAACACGTTCCTATTTATAGGGAACTCAGTCCAAAATCGGGTCTGGAAAAATTCCAGCCCGCTGGAACTTCGTGGGTGGGTGTGGCCCCCACCCCACATCTTGTTTATAATTCGCCACCTCGTATATCATTTGATAAACCTCAAATTTTGGACGAACACCAGAAGAACACCGCGAACATCATCAGAGAGATCTGAAACACCAAACCAGGCTAAAACCAAGTCAAACCAGCTGTGCCACTATACTACGGCTGTCTACGTGTACCCTCCACCGGGATCAAGCTTACCGTAGTTCAGGTTTTATTCTCCATATAGTCTCCACCTCACTCCATCACCGCCCCAAAGGGTCATGCCCTCTTGGGCAGATCAACACGGGCTGATATGAAGCAAGTCCAAGCAATGCTTAAACTTGCTACTTGTGACCATATTGGTTAACATGTCTGTGGGATTCTCATTCGTATGCAACTTCATGAGAGAAATATCGCCTTCCTCTATGACATCCCTCACGAAATGATACCTGACATCGATATGCTTGGTACGAGCATGATGAACTTGATTCTTCGCCAAGTGAATCGCACTCTGACTATCGCACCACAAGTTCACATTCTCCTGCTCAATCCCCAAATCGTCTAGAAGACCCCCACAACCACAATGCTTCCTTCACTCCCTCCGTTATGGCCGTGCACTCAGCCTCTGTAGTAGAAAGTGTTGGCCTTCTTGTTTTGATGATGTTTAACAAATAAGTCATTACTAATGTTGTCTGTCTAGTGTTTGTACTTATTCTAGGCAAACAACGTGTTGGAGGTTGGATGGATTGCGCCATAACGATCATATCAAGAGGAGGTTGGCGGAATTATGGAGTGAAGCAACGTACAATTCAAGTTAAAGATCAAGTTCAAGCTTCATCCGCACGTGTACCAAGTTGAGCTCATTGAAGATCACGATCAAGCTTGGGTAACTTAGTTTAGGATTTATATTATGTGTGTTAAGTACGTTAAGCTCAATATCTATACACACACATTATGTTGGTTTTCATACCATATTATATTTATATAAGTATAATTATCATATATATATATATATATATATATCTATATATTAATCATATATAATTATATATATAATATATATACATTATGTTTGGTTTTAAGTTTTCGCGGGACGTATATATGAACCAAATGCATAGAATGGAAAATACTATTTTGTTTATGTCATATATGTATTGTATATATATATGATTCATCTTTAACGAGCTTAATTTAATGAATCAATATCTTAGGTTTGAATATATTGCCATAGAATATGCATATTTTTGATAAATATTGATATTCTTGTTTGTAGCGTTTGAATATCAGTTTATACTTTTTACTAATCTATAAAACATGTTCACATAAGTTTCAAAAGTGTGAAGTTTATGTCAAACATCAAAATTCAATCAGTATCTCATATTTTCATTTTATTGGAGTAGTTGTAAAATGATGATATTTTTCTTTGGGAAGTCTTTTTTCGAAACAGTCATTGTAGCATGTTTATTTCATGTTACAAATCAATTCCCAAATTTATATTTTTTGGAATTTATTTGATATTTTTTAACATGTGTTTTAAAATTGATATACAGTTTTTGATAATGTCAGATTTTCTCGCTCGACCGAACCGGTCCGACCGACACCTGAGCTCATGAGTTACTGGCGACAGATAGTAACGTCGGTCGAACCTGTCACGTCGACCGAGGCTTTTAATCGCGTTCGAACCGGACGGCCTCGACACGCCTGTCCAGTACAGTTCCAACGGCTCTTTTTATGACCGTTGCCTTGGGGCTGTTTTGTCTTTTGCTCAGGTTTTTGGCCGAGTTCTTGGGAGGTTATATATACCCCCATTGTACTCTTTTCTAATAGACAAGAGAATGGTTTAAAAAATTTTAACAAGGGTTTAAACTTGTTTAGTGTTTGTTTAAAAAGCTTTTAAGCATTTACAAGAGTTTGATTTGTGGAGCAAATTTCACAAGAGCAAGTGGAGATCATCCTTGGTGTTTGAGCATTCATTCTTCTCACTCTCTCTTGTCATCTATAGAGAAGTTTCCTTAAACTCAATTCTAACATTTTATAAGTTTGTTCTTAATTTCATAAGCTAGATTTCATATTGAGTTTATATTGTTTTATCTCTTTGTTCACACACAACCTATTGAGCTTATTGTATTTACATTCATAGTATAATTTAGGTTTGTGGGTTTGTGACATTGAGAGTGAGCTTAATTGAGTTTTTATCTTGTTTAGAGAACAATTAATTGATTTATATTGTGCCTAATTGTGAGGATTCACTTGTAATACACTTGTACACCGAGAGAAGTGTGTGGTGAGAGACGGGGTCGAATCCAAGAGGAGTGGCGTCGGTTGACGTGCCTAGGGAGAGGTTGTAACCGAGCACTTGAGGAGGAGGACACGGGCTAGGACCAACACTTAGTGTGTGAGGTGTGATTGCATAGTGATTGTATTGTGAGGTGTAAACGTTGTTCGGGTGAACGTAGAAAACCCGGTTGTGATAGTGGAGATCTCCTCGAGGTGAGGAGCGGAGACGTAGGTCGTGGGGACCGAACTCCGTAATCATATTGTTTTTTTGTGATTGTATTGGCGCACTTACTTTTATGTTCTTATCTTATATCGCCTTTGTATATTGCTTGTTGATTATATTGCACACTATCTAGTTTAGATTGTTTACCCTTAAGATTATATATCATTGCATATATTTCACTATATACCTCTTTGCTAGGATATATCATATTGTATTTTGCTTATCCTAGTTCATATATATTGTTGCATTTCATACTTGCTAGGATAACTTGTTAATTAATTTTTAATTGGCATATAATCGGATTAGATTAGCATAAGACCCTAATCACCCCCCCTCTAGGGTCTAACAGAAAGTACCATTGTAGCCTGTAACATCGATCACCAACTAACTGGAGCCCCATGTATCCTGAATACATAACCAGTAGTAGATCGTCATCTATCTAGATCGCTCGCATAATCAGAGTCAACAAACCCATCAATCTGACATGTATCTACACCAAAACACAGACTCGTATTAACGGTACCCTTTAAGTACCTCAACACCCACTTCACTGCTTCCCAATGCGCGTTTCTCGGATTCGCCATGAATCTACTAACCACACTGACCGTCTGTGAAATATCTGGGCGTGTACACATCATTGCATACATTAAGCTGCCAATTGTACTAGCATAGGAAACACGCTCCATGTGCGCCTTCTCTTTCACTATAGTGGGAGATTGTTTTCCTGAAAGTCTGAAGTGTGGAGATAATGGAGTCGCCACTGACTTTGCACTTTGCATCCCAAACCTTGCGATAACCCGCTCTATTTAGCCCTTCTGACTCAAGAACAATCGTTGATTTGTCTGCTCTCTTCTAATATCCATACCCAATATTTTCTTTGTAGCGTCCATGTCCTTCATCTCGAACTCTTTACCAAGTTGAGATTTCAGCCTATCTATCTCCACCCTGCGCTTAGAAGAAATAAGCATGTCATTCACATACAAAAGAAGATAGATATAATCACCTCCACGAAGCTTCTGAATGTAAACACAATAATCATAATCGCTTCGGGAAAACACATGCTTCAGCATGAAGGAGTTAAATCGCTTGTACCACTGCCGAGGAAATTGCTTTAATCCAGAGAGTTTGAAAACACATGCTATTTCTTGTCCAAACTCTTGTTGTTCGATCCATTGTGAGTTTGAAAGGAGGGTGTTAGATAATATCATGAGCTCTAGCCCTAGCCGCCCTAGTGTGTAGCCGCCTCAACCGCCTCCTAGTGTGGGATACCGTTTGTGTATAGTGTGAGCTACTATTTGTGTACATATACCTTGTAAATCTGATCATGACACTGCAAGTTCTCTTCAATACCAACTTAACACATTTTGTGATATTTTTTGCACCATTTAAGTTTGTACTTGTTAGATATGATGCTTCTGTGTACTTTTCGATATATGTTCGTACGCATTAGTGATATTTGAGCCACTGCTTGTAGGATGTTCGGAGCAATTGTCCTAGCTGGTGCTCATTAATCGAATAGACAGAGAACTTTCTATTTCTGGCTTACTGTTTCTTAGTGTATTCAACGTTGCTATGGTTGCTGGATTCTGATAAAACGTTGTTCAAGCTACATTATCTGTCAATGAACCAAACACCAATTCTCTCTTCGCTACGAGGAGAGTATATTAATGCATAATAGCTTTGATTATAAGTTCATATAAGATTGAGCAATATTAAGAGGCAAAACACTAAAGTGCCTCTGATGAAAAACCGAATGCCACTTATGCTACAACTAGCGGGAACATGTTAGAATTAATATAAAATTATAACTCTCAACCATCACCATAACTTCAGAGTTTTGGTGTAATAGTTAGGAGGACTTCAACAAAATCCAATACAGAATAATACAGTATCTCAATCAACCATCATTATACCCAAATGGCATTTATCTAAATCAAACATCATCTCGTGAAAGAAACACACGTAGCAAATCAACACTCATTGTAAAATAAAAGCTTAAAAATCATGTCATCAGACATTAGAAGCAAACGCAAGACCTTCATTCTTAAGTTGTTCTAAATCCTCAACTGCCGGTTGGAGCCTAGCAATCTTAGCAATTGCCTTGTTTTCCTCTGGAGTACCAGCCTCTAGAAATACCCCAACCAACCTCCCGTCTTTAATCCAGTATGAACCAAATTTAGGCTTAGCTGACGCAGGATCATTGTCACCAAACAGGACAGTGTCTCCTACATTGTCTCCGTAGAATTGCCAAGAAAGATCGAAGGCACGAGAATAAAAATAAGGGAGATAGTCATATTCCTCAATTTGTTTCCCTTCTTCCTCGCTTGCCTTAATTGCCTGAGAGTAACAAAGAGGTGAAATATTATTGTGTTAAAGCATTTCATCAACTCTGGAAAAAAAAAATGCTGGATTAAGAGAAAATACCTTCACGGCTTGCTCAGCTGATTTTCTGGCGTGATCAACATGCTCAACTCTTCTCAGTTCATTGTATAATTTCAAAGGGAAGGTAGCAACATCACCAACGGCATAAACACCAGACACGCTAGTCTTGAAGAAACCGTCAGTCTGGCAAAATAAATAAATAAATAAGGAGACTCATGTTATTAACCAACAAAAGCATTGCAGTAGGTGTATAGAAATTATACATAATTAGTTGTAAAACGACCAAGCTGGCTGATATTTACAAATAGCTGTAATCTAGTTGAGTCTCATTTTACTTGTAAAGCTTAACATACAGACTTAAACAAAATTAAGCATATGCTGTAATAAAGTGGTTTACAGCATGACAGTTTTTAGTCTAAAGTGCAATCACTAGTAAAATAATTTTTGTCTGAAGTTCATCTCTAAATTGGTTCAGAGATGGCGCTATTCTGAGAGAAAAGTTCATGAAAGAAATAACGACATGAGTAACTTCGGTAACAGAATTCGACCTAACCTTAATTCCACCTTTCTCTTCTTCCACTTGCCCTTTAAAAAGAGTAGTAAGTGGTCTTCCACCAACTCCAACTACAACAATATCGGCATCAAGAACTCTTCCATCCTTCAGTTTTACTGCTGTAACCTGATAAACGAGAAAACATTAACCATGAAATGCTCGAAACTATACTTCCTACTTTCTGTAATGCTAAACAAAAACATGCTCTTTGTACGTGCTCAAGAACTTACATCACCATTAGCATCAGAATCAAATCCAACAGCAACAGTTCCCTTGACTATCTTTATTCCCTTATTTGCATAATAACCCTCATAGAAAGAAGCAATTCCTGAAGTAAAAAGCCGGGGCACTGCAATAAACAAGCCCAAATTAATATTATGTTTATTCTAAATTCTAGTTCACTTTCAGTTGTTTGAGGACATTTCAACATACTGCACCAAGGTTCAGGGTACACCATAGTGACATCAAGGTCATTAATTTTAAGTGCTGCACCAAGCTCTAAACCGATGTATCCGCCTCCAACAATCACAGCTTTGCCATTCTTCTTTTGTTGAATTGCTGCTACAAGTTTATCTGCATCATCAATCTCCCTCAGATAAAATATATTGTTGGCATTTGCTCCTTGGACACCGAAATCAGTGAGCTTAATGACCTGCATAAAACACAAAATGTTCGTACAAGAGATTAAAAATTGCATCTTTCTGCAGAATTTTGTTTCTATAAGGAATTTGATAAGCGCTGATGTATATCTGGTAAAATAAATTGTATATAGTGTAAATAAATAAAAAAATTGTATTGTGTACATACTGTGGATCCAGTAGCAATGATAAGATTATCAAATGTGAAGACTGAACCAGCTGCACTTGTAAGGGTCTTAGAAGCAAGGTCTGCTTTCACAATCTCTGTGCTGAGTATGAGTTCTATGCCTGCAATAAGCAACATTATTGTCACAGTTCTAACAACACCATACTTGGATTTGATATAGTGGATGAAGAAGAAGCCTGAAAAAATTTATTTAAAGTAGAAATTCTCCAAAACAAATTCCAGTAGATTGTTCATGAAAGATAAATGAAAATGAAAAAAAAACAAAGGAGGCAAAACAATTTACCTTTCTCTGCATACCATTCAGGGAGCAATCTCTCTCCTCCACTTCCGACACACGTGTGAAAACCAGGGAGTCTTGCAGCACCTACAACCCAAAACCAATAAAACATCTCCTAAGGTGAATTTTGCTTTACTTCGAGAGGAAATAAATTTTCCATTTCCTTAAGATATACACTTCATTAGTACAAAAAGCAATAACTTAGCCTGTTATTAGGTTTCATGTACAAGCACTACTTTAAAGTGTGAAATGAATTAGCCTACTGACAAGCACAGCCTAGAGTATGATCAAATAGATCTGACATTGATTTTCATAACTCACCCTGGGGGGAAAGGTAAGCTTTGCTTAGTGCTGGTCGTTCATAGGGAGCTACCTGAAACGAAAGGAAATAGAAATGTTTAAGAAAGAGCTCAGCTTGAAATAAGTTAGAAGCTGCGACCATCAAGTATATCAAACGCAGAATAACTACAAACAACTGAAGTGCAGAATAAGCTCTCAAGTGTAGTAAGAAATTCCAGGTGAAATGTTCAAGTAAGAGTATAAGAAATAGCTAACCTTAATGTGAGAAATTATGCCATAAGCAAACTATACGCAAGCACATGGACAAAAAAGAGTGTCCTTACTAAGACTTCGAGCAAACAAAGCCACTCTGACAGTAGATACACATGACAGGGAGAAAATTTCCATTGGTGATTGATTTTGATGAAGTGAAATTAAACTCCTATACAAACTGATGCATATAACCAAACACTGGTGACTAACATATCTCACTTTGATAGGATGCATTACAGAAATTTCAAGATAGTAGTTGTTACCAATTTCATGAACACTAAGATAGTCCATTGACAGTTTTTTTTTCAGGATCATTCACATCAATCCTTTCTTTCCATCCAACTATCTTAACTATTAGCTACTCAATAACCAAAGATTCTCACCTTCTAATACCTTGTGATAAAACCCTATCGCCCTGAGGAAAATTTATCAGATTCTGCACAAGCCGTCCAACACGAGAGTCCCCGAGAGTTTACTTCTCACCACATTTTAGTAGTTCAAAAGGTTAGTTTCAACCATGTCGTAACATTAACTTCAGCGATGTATAATAAAGATTTTGAAAGTAATTATTTGACCATATTATTCACCCTCGGAAATTCACACACACTACAAAATTAAAAAAGTTCTTTTACTTCACTCTACGTAAAATTCATGCTCCAAATAGCTGTAAACAACATATATTACTCTCTCAAAATGAAGATTTTCTTTAACCTTCTCGCTTTAGATGGGTTAATCAACTCTATTGAAGCCCATAATGATTTTAGTGAGAGGTGACTGACAGAATATAATATTTCCTACCATCATTGTTTATCTTGTTACCATGTATAGTTATTACCTTGTAATCTACTTACCATGTATAGTTGTTACCTAATAGGTCTCTACCTGTGAGATCTATAAATATTCTTGTATTCTCCTTATATCAATTCAATTTGAAAATTATAATCTTCCTTTTTATCTCTTCATTCATGGTATCAGAGATCAAAGATCTGAGACCTAACCCTATCTCCTTCCCCTGTTCTCCCGATCGGCCAGCCGCCAACCCCCCTTTCTCTTTCTCCAAGTCGACCAACAACGAAACTTCTTCCACCATCGCTGCTCTGTCCGGCATGGTACCCAACCCACATGAGACCGCCAAGCCACTTCTTGTGGTCAATCTCAATCACTGCCTTAAACTCACTGCCACAAACTGTCAGCAGCCTCAGCCGCCCACGTTCCTTTGACAGCAGTCGTTTTTTACTTTGGATAAAGGAGCGGGCCCCACATTATTATTATAATATAAATGCATAGTAATTTATTATTATTTTAATAAAGGAGCGGGCCCCACATTATTATTATAATATAAATGCATAGTAATTTATTATTATTTTATTATGCATAGTGTTTTTCAGTAATTTATTATTATTTTATTATGCATAGTGTTTTTCAAAATCCTATAAATAGGCTCTAAATCCTTAAGGAATTCTCATCCCAGAAACAACTTCTTATATAAAAGAGTGAGAGAGAAAAAATAGAGAGAGTTTCTCCTTGTAAAGAGAGAGAGTTTGTACCTTCAGAGTTTTTCTCCTCATAGTGGATTCTTCTATCCTTGCTCGTGGACGTAGGCAATCAAGTACCGAACAACGTAAATCTGTGTGTCTAACTTTTTATCTCTACTTTTGCTCTACTATTGCTGCGACCCTACTCTATTGGGCCCCGGGTTTATCCCAACAAGTGATATCAGAGCCAACTTAGGGTGCTTGTATATATCTACTTATCGTATGCTTTGTGGCTACCACCAAAGGTGGATCCTCCACATCAGAAAATAAGTTGGGTTATCATTTATCCTTTGAAGGTGACGGATACTATTCACGAGTACGGTACTGTTCACAAATACGATACTATTCACAACTATGGTACTATTCACAAATACGGTTACTGTTCATAAATACAGTTACTATTTACGTGAAATAGTAAGAAGTTATTGTTCGTGGTAGAAGCAATGGCGACAAAGTTCAAGATCGATAAATTCGACGGGAGTAATTTCTTACTGTGAAAGTTAAAGATAAAGGCTATCTTGAGAAAAGATAATTGCCTGGCGACCATCAGTGTAAGGCCGGACGACATCAAAGATGATAAGAAGTGGAACGAGATGGATGAAAATGCTATTGCAAATCTCCATCTGGCATTAGCAGACGGGGTGCTGTCAAGCATAGAGGAGAAGAAGATAGCAAAGGAGATCTGGGATACTCTAACAAAGCTATATGAGGCGAAATCCATGCATAATAAAATCTTCTTAAAAATGAGACTTTACACTCTTAGGATGACGGAATCTACATCGATGACCGACACATCAACACCCAAAACACATTGTTCTCCCAACTCACAACGTTGGGGTATACAGTTGGTGCGAATGAACGTGTAGAAATTCTACTTCAGAGTCTACCTGACTCGTATGATCAACTCATCATCAACTTGACAAACAACGTCCTCACGGACTATCTAGTTTTTGACGATGTTGCAGTCGCTGTTCTGGAGGAAGAAAATCGGCGCAAGAATAAGGAAGACAGGCAGTCAAGTTCGTAGCAAGCGGAGGCCTTGTCGGTGACGAGAGGAAGATCAACAGAACGTGGCTCCAGTGGGAGTCATGCCCATGGTAGATCGAAATCACGAAGTAAGAAGAATATCAAATACTACAATTGTGGCAAAAGAGGGCACGTCAAATCGGAGTGTTGGCACAACAAGAAGAGTGGAGATAAAAAGACTTCATATCCATTAACATCTCAAGGATGCGTTGTCAACACGTCAGATGATGAAGAAATTCTATTCAGTGGAGCAACCACTATTGATAAAAGCAGAAAAAAGTTTACTGATGTCTGGCTTCTAGATTCAGTAGCCTTTTGGCACATGACCTCTCGGAGAGAATGGTTTCACAAATATGAACCTATCTCAGGAGGATCTTTATTCATGGGGAATGATCATGCCTTGGAGATTTCTGGTATTGGCACTATTAAAATCAAAATGTTTGATGGTACAATGCGCACCATTTAAGATGTGCGACATGTGAAGGGCTTGAAGAAGAATCTATTGTCTTTGGAACAATTAGATGAGCTCGGGTGCAAGACTCATATCGAAAATAAGATCATAAAGATTATTAGAGGGGCGCTTGTGGTGATAAAAGAAAAAAAAGATAGTTGCAAATCTGTACATGCTCAAGGAAGAAACCATGCAGGAAGCTGATTCATGTGTGACATCAACCAACCGTGGAGAAGAACAAACCATGATGTGACATCACAAACTAGGCCACATGTCAGAACGAGGCTTGGAGATTCTCTCCGATCAGAAACTGCTTCCTGGACTTAATTCGGTAGCTCTTCCAATCTGCGAGCATTGTGTTACTAGTAAGCAGCATCGACTAAAGTTCAACACATCGAGTTCTAGAAGCAAGGTTATTCTGGAACTGGTTCATTCTGATGTATGGCAAGCACCAGTTACATCCTTAGGAGGAGCAAAGTACTTTGTGTCCTTTATTGATGATTACTCTAGGAGATGTTAGGTGTATCCTATCAAGAAGAAGACGGATGTGTTCTCAGTCTTTAAAGCCTACAAAGCGCGGGTCGAGCCTGAATCTGAGAAAAAGATCAAGTGCTTGAGGTCAGATAATGGAGGAGAATACACAGACGGTGAATTCCTAGTATCCTGTAAGCATGAAGGCATCAAAAGATAATTCAGCACTGCTTATACTCAACAAAATGGAGTGGCAGAGCGAATGAACAGAACTCTGTTGGAAAGAACAAGAGCTATATTGACAACTGCAAATCTAGAAAAAGTCTTTTGGGCGGAAGCAATAAAAACCGCATATTATGTGGTGAATTGATCTCCATCAACTGCAATACAATTAAAAACGTCGATGGAGACACTACAACAAATTGCACTTTTCCCGACGCTTATTCCCGACGCATGGTTAAATACGTCGCCAAAAATTATGTTTTTCCCGACGCATGATTAAATACGTCGCCAAAAATTGTGTTTTTCCCGACGCTTTTAATTAGCGTCGGCAAAAAATATATTTTTCCCGACGTTTATAATTAGCGTCGCTAAAAGTGTATATTATTAGCGACGTTTTAACTTAGCGTCGGTAAAAGTTATGGATTTCCCGACGTTTTTTTATTTTCGTCGGTAAAAATATATATATTTAGCGACGTTTCAGGATTGACGTCGCTAATAGTTTGTATTTATCGCGACGCATTATGTTAACGTCGCTAAAAGTCATCTTTTCCCAACGTACTACTATGGCGTCGCTAAAAGTTATAATTTTTACGACGCTACTTTATTCTTCCGCGTCGCCAAACCCCCTTCCTCGCCGAAATTTTTACCCATTCATTTTCACGAAAGCCAGAAACCAAATAAAGGGAGGGAAAATTCCCCCCTTTATTTTCACGAAGAGCCAAACCCCTCCGTTCTCTCTCTCATAAAAAAATCGGCCGCCTCCGTGCTTCTTCTCTGAAGTTCGCCGCCTCCGTCGAAGCTCACCGCCGCCAAACCCCCCCGTTCTCTCTCTCTCTCTCTCATTCGAAAATCGGCCCCAAACCCGCCCGTGCCTCTTCTCTGAAGTTCGCCGCCTCCGTCGAAGATCACCGCCGCCATCGTCGGAGTTCGCCGCCTCCGTCGGATCTCGCCTCCTCTCCTCCTCCTCCTCCTGCTCAACGAGGAGGATCGTAAGATCGGTAATCAAACCCGCCCGTGCCCTAATTTTTTTTTGGGTATTGAATTTGCCCTAATTTTTTTTGGGTATCTTAGTATTTGTGATTTCTCCGTAAGTATTTGTGAACATCTACATGAATTCTCCGTAAGTTTTTTTTGGGTATCTTAGTATTTGTGATTTCTCCGTAAGTATTTGTGAACATCTACATGAATTCTCCGTAAGTTTTTACTGGGAAATTTGAACTGATTCAAGGAGATGATGAACCTGTTTCATTGATCTCTTCACTATTTGGGTCCTGCTCCTACTACTCAAAGTTTAAGGTGACTTATGTTTTATAGGATTGATATTCTGGATGAAGCACAACTCAAGCCTGGTTGTATTAACAGAAAAATTGAGTTCCCTAACCCCTATGAAGATGTATGAATTTATGCGTAACTATCTAATCTAACCACATCATAGTTTTTATTAAATGTTACTGCTGCTCCATGACCTCCTGTAACAGTGATGACCAATTCCTATCCTGTTCAGTCTCATTTGGTATTTTGAAGATCCACTTAAGGAAGATAAACTTGATACGAGAGAATGATCTAAAAGAAGATCGCAGAAAAATGAATGGTGCCTCTGCTGCAGAATTTAAGGTACATTTCCCCCCTTCATGAACACAAATTATGCATACAGACTGATCTTTTCTATAAATTATTTATTTATTGAAAAATTCACAACTTACAGAGAAAAGGTGTGATACTCAGTTTAGATAAGAATTCATTTAACTAGTTAATTAATTATTTAAAATTAGTTCATTATTTCTCTCATGAAACAAACCGCTAATAATACTTAGTATTATGTTGCTAGAACACTAATTGTGAAGGCATATATATGTTTAGATGCATGCAACGGCGATAAACTGTCGTCTCACATTGGAGATTGATCATATCTTATATATCACTTTTCATCCTTCATGTTTCATGTTGTTCGCTTTTTGATTCGCATTCTGCTGATCAAAATTTTGTGATTTATTTGTTTACATATATTGCTCTTGCTGCTATAATTGTTGTTGTTAGTACTTGGTGAATAATACTGTGTGTTTTGTTAGAGATGATCCTTTTGTAAATCAACATATTCTTTAAATTCCCTTTAAGGGTTATTTTAATATGTTTGGTTAGGTATACCTGAAGTAGTTAGCTGTGTTCTGGAGTTTATGAAGCAAAGAATCATGGAACTGCAAATGTAGCTTATGCTTTTGGTTAAACTGGAATGTTTGATCAGGCTAATCTCAAAACTTGGTGTCATGGATCCTATTTTCCCCTTGACTTGATTTCCTTATGCATAAGGTTCCTTCAAGAATTTTTTAGCTCCACCTCATGTTTAACGTTTTTACTCTTTTATTGTGTAAGCTCTTCAGATGAAGAATCTTGTTTTCGTAAAAAAACATAACATTGTTCTCTAACTCAAATTCTGTTTTAGGCTTTTACGGCTATACTTTCTATGAAAATTATGGTAGAACATATATGAAATTATGAATAAAAATTATTATAAAGTAGAGATGAATGTAAAATATGGGGTTTGATGATTTGTTTACTTTCAAAATTTTCACGTTGACTAAAGGATAAGTACAAAGTGTCAGCCTCTCATCATGTTTGAAAGGATGATCATTAGCCATATTTACTTGTTATTTTGTGTTGCTTGAGTAATTCACTTTTTCTTTCTGTACCTTATTGTTGGTCGTGCGCACAAAAGGACGAATGTTCGCTCTCATGGATAAGGAAACATAGAAGAACATGTCCCTTAAAGTTATGGAAGTAATTCTGCTTATTAAATTGTTCTTTTCTACTATATATTTTCCTTCATGTATATATCTACGTGTATTTCTTCAATTTTGTGTAACTATATAGAGCAGGCACATGCAACGCAAGTCCCGTCCTGACTAATGTTATTTAAAAAAGAAAAGAAGTTTATAAAATTATAGCTTTTCCCATTCTTTATAGAAGCAAAGACTTATGTTTTAACTCCCTAAGCCAACACCCCTAGACGCTAACAAGTTGAACAGTAAACCAAGTTGGTAGACAAAATTTTGGAATTAAAGATTTGTTTGTGAAATTGTGTTTTTTTCCATCTGAAATGTTCACAAATATTATATATCACCTTTTGTACTAAAGCAGTTACATAAATGGTCATGTGAGAGGTGACGAGATCCACATTAAATTATATTCAATCCAAAGGAAATTAGTTATTATATGGAATGATCTAAAATTTTGTATTATTTTGACCAAAGTATAATAAGTCATGTATATTTCATGATAAACTTTCAAGCTATACTTTTGCCGACGCAAATCATGCGTCGCCAAAGATTAGATTTTTAGCGACGCTCATTTCCGCGTCGCTAAAAGTGTATTTTTGCCGACGCATTACCCTTTGCCGACGTTATGTACGTCGCCAAAAGTGCAAGATTTCCCGACGCCGTTTCACATATGGAAAAAATCAGCATGTTTTTGCCGACGCAAAATAATATGCGTCGCTAAAAGATGTACTTTTCCCAACGCATGTCGCGTCGCCAAAAGTATACTTTTGGCGACGCAGTGTATTTGCATCACCAAATACTTTCCTTGACGCACTTTTAGCGACGCGTTAGCGACGCTGTATTTTGCGTCGGGAAATATTTTTCCCGACGTTTTTTAAACATTTGCCGACGTTTTTGTTTCGTCGGCAATGTTGTATTTTGTTGTAGTGAGATATGGACTGGCAAGCCAGCTGATTATTCCAACCTTCATATATTTGGAAGTCCAGTGTACGTAATGTACAATGCCTAAGAAATTACAAAGCTGGATTCAAAATTCAGAAAATACATATTCTTGGGGTATGCTGATGGAGTAAAAGGGTATCGCCTGTGGGATCCCACTACCCATAAGGTTATCATCAGCAGAGATGTTATCTTTGTAGAAAATCAACTACAAAGTGGTAAAAAAGAAAGCAGTTCAAGGAAGGACTCAGAGACTATAGCTGTTCAGGTAGAAGATGATCCGAATTCTTCTGAAACAATACCGGAGCATGATGTACAAGAACCAGTCCAGTCCGAGGCTCCAGAAACTCGAAGGTCAACTCGTGAGAGAAGGCCACCGACTTGACACTCGGAGTATATTACGGAGAGTAATGTTGCATACTGTCTTCTAACAGAAGATGGAGAGCCATCAATTTTTCATGAAGCTATAAATGACACAGATGCATTTTTATGGATGGCAGCAATGCAGGAAGAAATTGAAGCTCTCCATAAGAACAAGACATGGGAACTTGTGTCACTGCTACAAGGAAGAAAGATCATTGGAAACAAATGGGTCTACAAGATCAAGCAAAATGACGATGATCAAGTGCAGCGATATCGTGCTAGATTTGTGGTAAAAAGATATGCTCAGAAAGAATGTATTGATTTTAATGAAATATTTTCTCCAGTAATTCGACTTACAACAGTCCGAATAGTCCTAGCTATGAACGCTAGATTTGACTTACATCTAGAGCAGCTAGATGTGAAAACAGTATTTCTTCATGAAGATGTTGAAGAAGAAATTTACATTCTCCAACCAGAAGGTTTTGAAAAAAAAAAAGAACTTGGTTTGCAGATTGAACAAATCTCTGTACGGTCTAAAGCAGGCGTCGAGGTGTTGGTATAAGAGATTTGATTCATTCATCATGAGTCTTGGATACAACAAACTTAATTCAAACCCTTGTGCATGTTTCAAGAGGTTTGATGAAAATAACTTTGTTATCTTATTCTTGTATGTTGACGACATGTTGGTTGCAGGCCCCAACAAAGATCGTATCAAAGAATTAAAGGCTCAGTTGACTAGAGAATTTGAAATGAAGGATTTAGGATCTGCGAACAAGATTCTAGGGATGCAAATTTACCGAGACAGAATTAATAGGAAGATTTGGCTTTCTCAGAAGAATTACTTGAACAAAATCTTGCGACGCTTTAACATGCAAGATTGTAAGTCAATTTCTACCCCACTTCCTATTAATTTTAAGTTATCCTCCAGCATGAGTCCTAGCAGTGAAGAAGAGAGGATAGAGATGTCTCGAGTATCGTATGCATCAGCAGTAGGAAGCTTAATGTTCGCGATGATTTGTACAAGACCAGACATTGCACAAGCAGTGGAAGCTTAATGTTCGCGATGATTTGTACAAGACCAGACATTGCACAAGCAGTGGGAGTGGTTAGTTGATACATGGCGAATACAAGCAGTGGGAGTGGTTAGTTGATACATGGCGAATCCTGGTAAAGAGCATTGGAATGCTGTAAAGAGGGTCCTAAGATACATTAAGGGAACCTCAAATGTTGTATTATGTTATGAGGGATCTGATTTTATTGTCAGTGGATACGTTGATTCTGATTATGCAAGTGATCGTGATAATAGCAAATCCATCACAGGCTATGTGTTTGCACTTGTTGGCGGAGCTGTAAGCTAGGTTTTAAAACTACAGTCAGTTATGGCTACTTCAACAACAGAAGCAGAGTATGTAGCAGCTACACAAGCTAGTAAAGAGGCGATGTGGTTGAAGATGGTGCTGGAGGAACTCGGTCATGAACAAAAGAAGATTTTTCTATTTTGTGACAGTCAGAGTGCTTTGCATTTGGTAAGAAATCCAGCCTTTCATTCAAAGACCAAACACATTCAAGTTCAGTATCACTTCGTTCGTGAGAAAGTGAAAGAAGGAACAGTGGATATGCAGAAAATTCACACCAAAGACAACCAAGCTGATTTTTTAACAAAAACAGTTAATACTGACAAATTTATTTGGTGTCGATCCTCCTGTGGTCTGTCGGAGACGTAAGCAACATGAAGATGACAAGATAGAAAGAATGGTGTAAAGATATGATTGATACTCAATCAAATCTTCAAGTGGGAGATTGTCAGTAGCCTCAGCCGCCCACGTTCCTTTGACAGCAGCCGTTTTTGACTTTGGATAAAGGAGCAGGCCCCACATTATTATTATAATATAAATGCATAGTAATTTATTATTATTTTATTATGCATAGTGTTTTTCAAAATCCTATAAATAGGCTCTAAATCCTTAAAGAAATCTCATCCCAGAAATAACTTCTTATATAGAAGAGTGAGAGAGAAAAAATAGAGAGTTTCTCCTTGTAAAGAGAGAGAGAGTTTGTAACTCCAGAGTTTTTTTCCTCATAGTGGATTCTTCTATCCTTACCTGTGGATGTAGGCAATCAAGTGTCGAACCACGTAAATCTGTGTGTCTAACTTTTTATCTCTATTTTTGCTCTACTATTGCTGCGACCCTGCTCTATTGGGCCCCGGGTTTGTCCCAACACAAACTTCCTGTCGTGGCAACTTCAGTTTGTCGCCACCCTGGAAGGATATACCCTTGAAGGTTTCATCAACAGCTCTCATCCGTGTCCACCACCGACAATCACCATCAACAATGTGGTCTTTGCCAACTCTGCCTTCCAGACATAGAAACGTCAAGATCGTCTCCTCTTCAGTGCCCTCATCGGGACTCTCACGCCCACCGTTGTTCCTATGGTCAGCCGCACCCATACTGTTCAAGAAGCATATGAAACCCTCGTTGCCACCTATGCTACCCCTACTAGGTGTCACATCAAGCAAATCAAAACTTAACTCAAGAATCTCACCAAAGGCACCAAATCCATCTCTGAGTATCTTCATCAAGCCAAAAACCGCTATGATGACCTTGCCATACTTGGTAAACCCATGGATCACGAAGACTTCATTGACGCCATTTGCGACGGTCTTGATGAAGGATACAAAGGTAACAACTATACATGGTAATAAGATAAACAATGATGGAAGGATATAACCTGTGATTTATTGTGACAATGTTGGTGCTACTCAGCTCTGTGCCAACCTAGTATTCCACTCTCAAATGAAACATGTCGCTATTGACTATCATTTCATCAGGCAACATGTTCAACGTGGTATTCTCCGCGTCTCTCATGTCCACTCCGAAGATCAACTCGTCGATATGCTTACAAAGCATCTTCCATCCACGCAGTTTACAAACCTATGCACCAAGATTGGACTATCTTCCAGATACTCCATTTTGCGGGGGCATGAGAGAATACAATATTCTCTACCATCATTTTTTATCTTATTACCATGGATAGTTGTTTATATTATTACCATGTATAGTTGTTACCTTGTAATCTACTTACCATGTATAGTTGTTACCTAATAGGTTTCTACCTATGAGATCTATAAATACTCTTGTATTCTCCTTGTATCAATTCAATTCGAAAATTATATTCTTCCTTTTTATCTCTTCAGTGACAATGTAATTAAAATCATAAGTTAACCTAGAATCATGTCACTTGCTTAGACAAGTCAGATAGGATCAAAAATCCACCAAGAAAGGAATCTATCGAAATTCCACGGAGGAATTTTCGACATTAAACAACTCCAAAGTATTCAATATAACATTTCGACAAGTAATTCCAAAAAAAAAACAAGAATTTTGAGAAAAAAGAACATAATGCAGAAAAAGCAGAGCAATAAAAATCATACAGCTTCTTTGGATATGATTGCAAGTTCGCCAGCTTCAAGGCCGAGTTTAACAAACTCCCTTGCTGCATATCCCTGCACCAATCCAACCAAAAGACTCAGTTGTTTCGCTCAAAATATAGCACAAAAGCTACAAGAAAATAGATTCTAAATCAAAGAGAAAAATAACAGAGGAATCAGAGAACTTACAGCAGCAACTCCTCCTCCAAGAATCACATGCTTGAAGTGCTTAGAAGCCATAGATGAATCTAAGATCAACCGAAATATCCAAATCAAACGAAGTTATTTTCGTTTTTTTTTTCTTTTTTTAATAAGAAAAATAGATGAGACCAAGTGAGAACCTAGCCATCACTTGGTAAACTTTTTATAAACGGAGAGCCGCCTTCCATGCGCTGACGAATGAGCTGACGGTTTTAAAAGCGAGATTTGGTGAGATCTGACTCCACGTGGCAAATCCTGAACCGTTGGTCTCCGCTAATGGTGCGGGACTTTGATCCGATTTTGGTGTGAACGCAGCGCGAATCGTTTGATGCCATGCTAAAGCATTGAATTGTTATTTGAGTACAGACGCGAAACCTATCCGGTACGTTATTTGTTTCCCACTTGTTTTGTTAAATAAATATAGGGGTTTTTGCTTTTAGACCCATTTGTTTACTCCCATTTATTTTTAAACCCAAGCACTATTATTTGTATCTTTAAGCCCAATTCACTTTTGTATTTATCTTTAAACCCAATCTCTAAAATACTATACTTTCACCACATGTATTTATACATAATCCCCAAAATACCCCTTGGCCCCATATAAACCAGCATATCTGATCCTAATCTTACTCTTTCAGCCCTAAATTAAAAAACGACAGTCCCTTGCCATCGTCGTCGTCTCCAGCCGTCGTCGCTCATCTCCAGCCGTCGTCGCTCGTCTCCAGCCGCGTCTCCAGCCGCCGTCGTTCGTCTCCAGCTACGGAGAGATCCGATCAAGATCGCGACTGAGGAGCACAAGACAGCGGCGGCGACCGGAGAGTCAATCATGTCTCTGACGTTTGATCGGAGAACTTGCTGAAGGAGAAGATATTGACCTAGGTCGTTGACAAAGGATTGGGGGTTGGTTGACAAAGGATTTGGTTATATGTAAAGCCTAGTTGAAACATTGTAACTATGTATCAAAATTTCAATTAATGAAGAAAATAGTTTGGGTTATTTTGATAATGATGATTATCGATGAGAGTGGCGTTGATTTATTGTATTTCTATTACTTATTCTTAGTTTCTTGATTATGAGTGTTATCATTTTTGAGAGTTGCTGGAAGTACTACCCCAATAAAAAAGGAAAAAGAAAAAGAAAAAAAGCTAGGCAAATGGAAATACACGCATGTAAGGTGTTTGATAATTTGTCTCAACGAGACAATATACCTAATGCATTTCTAATTAAACTCAAGTTGGCAAAAGCATGATGTCATGAAGTGTTCCACAAATTGCCACAACAACGCCTGCAAATAACTTGTACATCATTTTCTCGACGCAATGTAAACTACATCTCAAATTGCTAATCATACAATTAAATGCAATCGTAATTGATCTCTACTTGGTAAAAGCATGTTGAACGTGAAGTGTCTCACAAAATGCCTCAACTGAACATAGATAACATCCCAAATCGCTTACAAGCATCAACCGTATAAACATAGGTTAACGTGCTATACTTACTCCATAACGTGCTATACTTACTTCATAACGTGCTATACTTACTGGGTAATGTGCTATACTTACAGATTAACGTGCTATACTTACAGGCTAACGTGCTATACTTACAGGCTAACGTGTTATACTTACATGTTAACGTGCTATACTTACAGGTTAACGTGCTATACTTACAGGGTAACGTGCTATACTTTCGATATAACGTGCTATACTTTCGATATAACATGCTATACTTTCGATATAACGTGCTATACTTTCAGGTTAACGTGTTATACTTACAATATAACATGTTATACTTACAATATAATGTGTTATACTTACAATATAACGTGTTATACTTACAGGCTAACGTGCTATACTTACAGGTTAACGTGCTATACTTACTGGGTAACGTGCTATACTTACTGGGTAATGTGCTATACTTACAGGTTAACGTGCTATACTTACAGGTTAACGTGCTATACTTACTGAGTAACGTGCTATACTTACAGGTTAATGTGCTATACTTACTGAGTAACGTGCTATACTTACAGGTTAATGTGCTATACTTACAGACTAACGTGCTATACTTTTAGGTTAATGTGCTATACTTACAATATAACGTGCTATACTTACAATATAACGTGCCATAACCCAGTTTTCAGCTCATGAGTCGACCCATAACTCATCATGAGTCGACTCATCAGGTTAAGTCGACCCATGACTGTCATGAGTCGACTCATTATATCAACTCCTGCTGTCAAAAGTCTCTGCTGAGTCGACTCATCACCTTATGAGTCGACCCATGAGTCACGAGTCGACTCACGACTGAACATGAGTCGACTCATCGAGGGTTTTCTGGTTTTTTTTCTAAGTATAGCATGTTATATTATAAGTATAGCATGCTATATTGTAAGTATAGCACGTTAACCTAAAAGTATAGCACATTATGAAGTAAGTATAGCATGTTATGGAGTAAGTATAGCACGTTATATTATAAGTATAGCACGTTAGTCTGTAAGTATAGCACATTAACCTGTAAGTATAGCACGTTAACCTGTAAGTATAGCACGTTACTCAGTAAGTATAGCACGTTAACCTGTAAGTATAGCACGTTAGCCTGTAAGTATAGCACGTTATATTGTAAGTATAGCACGTTAGCATGTATGTATAGCACGTTATATTGTAAGTATAGCACATTAACCTAAAAGTATAGCACGTTATGAAGTAAGTATAGCACGTTATGGAGTAAGTATAGCACATTAACCTAAAAGTATAGCACGTTATGAAGTAAGTATAGCATGTTATGGAGTAAGTATAGCACGTTAACATATGTTTATACGGTTGATGCTTGTAAGCGATTTGGGATGTTATCTATGTTCAGTTGAGGCATTTTGTGAGACGCTTCACGTTCAACATGCTTTTACCAAGTAGAGATCAATTACGATTGCATTTAATTATATGATTAGCAATTTGAGATGTAGTTTACATTGCGTCGAGAAAATGATGTACAAGTTATTTGCAGGCGTTGTTGTGGCAATTTGTGGAACACTTCATGGCATCATGCTTTTGCCAACTTGAGTTTAATTAGAAATGCATTAGGTATATTGTCTCGTTGAGACAAATTATCAAACACCTTACATGCGTGTATTTCCATTTGCCTAGCTTTCTCCAGGAAGCAGGGTCAATTCGGGAACAGCTCAGCTTCAGCTAGAAGCCGACAGATATAACAACGACCATGGAGTCCATGAAGGAGTCCATTCCGATGATGAATTCTTGGATTCCCATTCCGCGCTCGCCTCTGACGACACAACGTCTAGCATAGGGCAAGCTCGAGAGGTGTGCATGGCCAACACCGAACAGATAGCCAAAATCATTGAAGAGGCCCTGGCTAAGCAGAAGGAGGATCAAACGTCAGAGACATGATTGACTCTCCGGTCGCCGCCGCTGTCTTGTGCTCCTCAGTCGCGATCTTGATCGGATCTCTCCGTAGCTGGAGACGAACGACGGCGGCTGGAGACGCGGCTGGAGACGAGCGACGACGGCTGGAGATGAGCGACGACGGCTGGAGACGACGACGATGGCAAGGGACTGTCGTTTTTTAATTTAGGGCTGAAAGAGTAAGATTAGGATCAGAGATGCTGGTTTATATGGGGCCAAGGGGTATTTTGGGGATTATGTATAAATACATGTGGTGAAAGTATAGTATTTTAGAGATTGGGTTTAAAGATAAATACAAAAGTGAATTGGGCTTAAAGATACAAATAATAGTGCTTGGGTTTAAAAATAAATGGGAGTAAACAAATGGGTCTAAAAGCAAAAACCCCATAAATATATAATTGATGATTTCTTTACTAAGTTGACCACTAATTCTATTGACTAACTTTTTGTTTGTTTTAAGAATAAAACTCGATTTCTATATATGTAGTTCATATCTAGTCACTATTAGGCTAAAATACCAAATTGGTATTTTTATACGAACATGTTTGCCAGTTTGGTATATTTAAAAACTCCGGCGACAAGAAGACATTTATTCTCAGCCTTTTATTCAATAAGACAATTTTCAAAATTCCTGCAAAAAAATTGTATTAACCCCCTTACCACCCAAAATTATTAAATCTGCGCCCAAAACTATCAAAAAAAAATTCATCCCTTCCCTCTCCCCCTCCTCCTCATCATCGTCGTCGACGTCCTCGTCCTCCTCTCCCTTCCCCTCTCATCCCCTCCTAAAACTGAGTATGTCCTAAAACTGAAGTTCTCATTCCTGTTTTATTTTATTACTTATTTTCACGAGTATACACGGGTATGGCATATCTTCATAATGAGCCGAATGTTATAATTCATCGTGATCTAAAGCCAAGGTAACTTGAACTGTTAACTTTCATTTCATTTTGGTATGAATAAACTTCAATTGCTAGTTTTTATTTGATGTTTATGTGAAAAGTTCATTTGGTAAAAATTTCTTCTAGGAACGTTCTTTTGGTGAACTCCAATGTTGATCATTTAAAAGTTGGAAACTTTGGGTTAAGCAAACTTATTAAAGTGCAAAACTCCCATGATGTATATAAAATGACTGGAGAGACTAGAAGTTGAGTATAAAATATATTTCCTTCAAAAGAAGAATGAGTGTTACACTTTAAACTAATTGTTATTTCATTCTGAGAACGAAAGACCGATACATTGCACCAGAAGTATTCAGACACAGGAAATATGACAAGAAAATTGTTGTCTTCTCATTTTCCATGATATTGTATGAGGTAGTTTGATTTTTCTAATAGCATTCCAGTTTATGAGCATGTAGGTTACCATGCTTTTTGACTCATTCGTTATATTAATTTTAGATGCTTGAAGGAGACCCTCCATTAGCAAACTATGAACCTTATGAAGCTCCTAAATATGTTTCAGAGGGCACCGGCCAACATTTCGTGCAAAAGGATTTATTACTGAATTGAGGGAGTGAGTAAAAGTTAGCTAATGGAGGAGGAGGGGATGGTGGGGAGAGGGATGGAGTTGGAGGGGGGTGAAGTTGGAGGGATGGAGTTGTAGCGTTCTCAAGCTTCATAGAGTGACTCTCCTTCCTTCTGTACAAATCTTGTGATATGGTTCCTCATATGTGCTATTTTACTTGGGGAAAATACTTTGCAAGAAACGCACTGGATAACTGATCCCAAGTGGTGATGGACCCAGTGGGCAATGAGTGCAACCAAGCCCTAGCCTTGTTCTTTAAAGAGAACGGAAAAAGTCTAAATCGAATAGCATCATTAGTCACTCTATTAAGCTTCAAAGTGTCGCAATACTCCAAGAAAATCGACAGGTGGAGGCCCGGGTCTTCAGTTGCACCTCCTCCAAACTGATTTTGCTGAACCATTGAGAGCAGTGATGGTTTTAGTTCAAAATTATTATCTTCAACAGTGGGCCTTGTAATGCTTGAATGTGTGCCTTGAGCATTTGGGGCAGCGAAATCCTTAAGAAGCTGATTCTGATCACCCATCGTAGCTTATTATGTGTTCCTTTGCTCCCTTATATACCTTCTTATCTCTGCAAGAGTTACCGATAGTTCAGGATTGTTTTCGTTGTGTACTTCTGTTTAATGCCCTTGCATAAAAGAAAGTGAGTAGCGAAGAGAATATAAAAAAATCTAGTCTAGCTTAATAACGTAAGTACTGAATATTAACATCGTAGTCCCCGGCAACAGCGCTAAAAACTTGATAGGGAAAATCTGTAAGTGCACAGACTCGTTGTAGCTATCAAGGTCGATCCCACAAGGATTAGGGGTTAGTTACCAAATTTTACGTTATTCGACTAGCTAAACTAATGAGTAAATTAGAAGAGATTAAAATTAAAATAAAATAAAATAAATAGCTAATCAGGTGGAATTCAATATAATGAAGGGTCGGGATTGGGTTTTCACCACAACTACGATGCTCAATGATGAATTATTTCAGCTCTTGGTGTTGGTTTATAAACTAGAAAGGGTGAATTAGCCTAAATTAATCTAAAGCCTCTTTCAAGGTCTAATGATCGTGTCTAATTAATCTCAATTAACCTACTTTCGTGGAATCAAGATTAAATTAAACTCATTAAGCTTTATGCTAATCCTAATCAAATCCCTAAGGAATCTTGCATACTTTCGTGGTTCGAGTTCCCTACTTAATTTCTAGAGGTTAGGTACTAATCTTCACCTTTCAGTCCGTCAATTAATTACCTATGATTGCTAATACAGTGATCAAGGGAATCAAAAAAATTAAAACATAAGAAATTAAGTTTAAAGATTTAAACTTTCACCAAGAACCTATATTAATTCATCATCAATCACCAAAAATAAAGATTTAAACTTTCACCAAGAACCTATATTAATTCATCATCAATCACCAAAAAGTTAGGTTCTTTCTCAATCCTAGACAAAGAATCTACTCACACATGATTGGGATAAGAGAATATATCAAATAAATAAGTAAATCAATCATAAGAAGAAATTAATAAAAGAGAGAAAAGAATTAACTCATCTTTCAATTGAAATCTTTAAAACATAGACTTGCAATCCAATCTTGTACAAGAAATTTGTGTCTTCCTTAATACTTGAACTCTAAAATAGATGCTAATTGATGGCTAAGAGAATAAGAACAAAAGATATCTAAATCCTAAGCCAAAATATCTATTTATATATCCCCAAAAATCTGTAAAAAGATAAGGCTCGTGCCACGGGTGTGGTACGCACCACACCAGGGTGTGGTGAAATCTGTCTTGCTCATTTTGTGCTTGTTTGTATAGTCTTTGATATTTTAGCTATACTTTTTTCCTCCAACCTCAGAATAAGGTGATTCAAGTTGCATTGGAAAGATGTTGAAGAGATATACAACTTTTGTCTTTTAAGCTTTTCTGGATTCAAATTGCATCATGATTGAAATTCTAGTTCTTCATGATCGTGCATCCATTTCTTCTCAAACCATGCATCCTAAGTCCGGTTGTTACTTTAAACTCTTGTTTAACTTCCAACAATCATTGAATCTTTTAATATCAAGCCAATATCTGCATATAAGAATACAAATCACAGTAGTATCCTCGATCTAAACACGAAATATGCATCAAACATCCATAAATCATGCTTAAAACACACTAAGATAATGCATATTTTACGTGTTTATCAAGTGGATATTGGATTCAGATACTATATACCATATTTGCCCTAGGAGGGATTGGTTCTCCAGTTTTTAGGAGTTGGAAAGAGGGAATGTCGTGCGCATGGATAATGATCATGTATGCCTTATCGACGGTATTAGAACAATTCAGATCAGGATGTGTGATGGGGTGACTAGGGAGCTGAAGGAAGTGAGATTCGTTCCGCAGTTGACGAAAAACATCATTTCACTTAGAACTTTGGAGGCAGCAGGCTATAGGATGATCTTAGAGAATGTAATTCTGAAGGTCACAAAGGGATCCATGATTATGATGAAGGGCGTCAGGAAGAATAACTTTTACTACTTGACTGGAAGTACAGTGACAGGTGGAGCGCTGGCGACTTCTATTGATTTGACTAAACTATAGCGTTTGAGGCTGGGACATTCTAGTGTTAGTTCCTTGCAAGCTTCGGATATGCAAGGATTGGTGAGAGGTGCTTTGACCTGCAATTTGAAGTCTTGTGAGCATAATGATGTGAGCAAGAAGACCGAGGTGAAGTTTGGCATCTTTATTCATCGAGCTATGGGCCTTCTAGATGATGTTCACATGGGTGTTTGGGGGCCTTTCAAGGAGGCATCATTAGGAGGTAATAGGTATTTAGTTTCCTTTGTTGATGACTGTTCTAGGCATGTTTGGGTTGCAACCAAGTCTCGTTTGAGTGAAGTCCTACTAGTAAACAACCGATGGAAGAAGTGTATAGAGACCAAAAATAGACAGAAAGGATAGAGTACTACGTTTTGATTTTGGTGGGAAGTACAAGAGGGATCCATTTCTGCATTTGTGTCGAGCTCAAAGCAGTTTGAGACGTTTCATTGGAAAGGAAATATTGGGGTAACGGGATGAGGTGGTAAATTTGATGAGTTGTTCCTTACTAGACAAGGATCAGTATTTGGTATCAAGCAGTAGTTTGAAGAATAGTTTTGATACTGATACTTTGTGTCACGACCCCAATTTCCGAATCTAAAAGGAATATTAGAGCCGGACTAAACCTGTGAAAAGTCCTCCAAAATATACATTCATTAAAAGACCACTAAAACAAATCTTTTCATTGAACTAAAACCAACAACAAATATTCTCTATAATCCCAAAAGTCAAACTAAGCCAATTAACTTGATAAAAATAAATATTCCTCAACTCCAAATAAATCTCAACCTAAAGAAAAAAATCTCATTATTACAAAACTCTCAATTCATCAACTAAACATTAAAGACTTTATTTAACCTTGGCCTAGAAGACAATAACAATCTCGAATTATATTCGTTGCTTCGTTCTAAGAATTTGGTAAATCCTCAATTCCACCTAATCTCGTGTCTCTGAAAAAAAGGAAAACAACACAATGAGTTCACAACTCAATAAGTGGATAAATTTATACATTAAACATTGGTTTTACAAAACTAAAATAAATTGACTTGATAAGCGAAATACTAAAATAGTAAAATCTATAATGCAACACCTTTAAAATATATGCATGCAATGGAAATAAGTAGGTCACGTCTCAATGCGGTCAACACTTTGATACTCCGGTTGACTTAGCAAACCCCACTATTATAAAGCCCGTGGTAGGGACGATGAGACCCAAACTTGGGCTCTTAGCGCTAAAATGACGATGAGACCCAAACTTGGGCTCTTAGCGCTAAAATAGAAACCTCATAGAGGCACATTGAGCCCTGTGTTAATAACTTGCTCGCTAAAATAGAAACCTCATAGAGGCACATTGAGCCCTGTGTTAATAACTTGCTTATATCCGACATATACTGGTATATTGACTTGAGATGCATTTGCTTTAACAATAAACAAAGTTCGTAAAGCTAATCACATTATACAAAAATGCTAAAGGCCAACCAATAGTGAAATAAATCAAACACATATGCATCTCAACCTACCACTATATGAAAAGATATAACAATTGATAAAGAAAATAAGCATAGGCTTATACCAAAATATCCATGAGCATCACAAAATCAAACCAATCAACAAATGATATACCGGTAATCATATGAAGGATATAATCCGTCAGGAACAAATCCAAGTATACTTGATATAATTATATATAAAAAATACACAGCGCACAATGCATAAATTCACCACTTACCTTAACTTGATAGACAATCCAATCCAATTCCCGACGATTCAAGTGCCTCTAGAATTTCCTAAAGATTAAATTCAAACAACCTTCAATACGATCCTCCTATTAAAATACATTAAACATACTAAGCCTATTCAAAAGATCATACTATATTACTAAAATTTAGCAAACTATTTTCTGTTTTTGCTTGCTACAAAAAGACAAAAGAAAAGAACCAGTAGCTTCCATCTAAAATCCAAACAATTAATATTCTATATTCTATAAGTTACCTGCATACAACCATCAATGCTAAATAATTTATCATTTAAGATGATATAAATTCTATAGGTGTTAAAAGAAACAAGTGCTGCACTATTACCTATAGAAGCCTAAGACATAGTCATGATCTTAGGAGAAGTGCGCTCGACAACGCCGATGGAAAACAAGTAATCAGTTCTCTCGTTCTTTCTTCTCTCGCTGATTAACCTTTCTTTCTTTCTTTTTCTTTTTTTTTTGGTGCGGCGGAACAGGGACAGGAAAAAGAAGAGGAGGCTGACGGAAATCAAAGGAATAGGGTTTTGGATATTTATAAAGGCTCTTTTTACTAATAGAACCCTCAAACAAAATTTGCATAAAAGTCCTCTTACACACTTATATTTATAAATTAATATTATTAACTCCATTGTTTGGATATCTATTTAAACAAATAATAACTTAGACTTATCATCACTTAGAAAAATTAGGGATATTACACTTTGACATATTCGAGCCATCTTATTCATAAGTTATCGTCTGCTGTGATTGGAGTATTTGGGTCTATTAGAGTTGCTTCAGATTTTGGTTTGCTTCGGATATTTGGGTTCTTAGCATATTATCACATCGATGATGTGAAAATTGATTCGAGTGCATATTTGGAATTCATATGCATGATTGGCTACATGTTATGGGACTCTGTTTTCAAGAAGATTGTTCTGAGCAGTAATGTCATGTTTGACTCTCGGTAGGTGGAGAGTATTAGTCAGATCAGAGATGTATCGTAGTAGGTGGAGAGTGATGCTACTTCACGTTGGGTGGAGATTACTCCACGTTCTCTAGATCATTATGTATCATTTAAAATTTTAGCTGAGGTGACATAGATTGGGGATCATGTTGGTGTGGATACAGATGATGAGTTTAAAGATCAAGATTTGAGTGCAGCAGGTGGACACGGTTCAGATTTGGCTATGGTCGTTGGCTCCCCTCAGGTGGAGGTGTTTGGTAATTGTGTTTTTTTCTACATATAGGATTGAGGGCTTAAGCTCCAAGACAGATTTGATGTGGAGAGATGTAAGTTTGGAAGAGAGTTTGTCTTTTCACTTTGAGACCAACAGGGGTGTTATTAGCTGCAGGTTTGTTAGTGTTGACGGTCAGGAAGTTGGTGAAGGATTGAAAAGTCTTCTAGTTGATTGTGGTCATTTACGATCATTTAGATAAACTACGTGAGGCTTGATTCCTTGGACAAGAGGATATGTAGGCAGTCATTTTGATGCAGCCAGTTTGATGAGTTGATACCAACATTTTGGAGTTTGTTCGCATTCTCGTTTGGGTTCTCGACTTGTTGTGGATTGAGTCCGTTATCGTAAATTTTTTCCACTTCATAGTTGATGCAACAAGTGGGATGTTTGGTTAGTATTGGTATCGGCTCAGTTTTGGGAAAACTTCGTCGAGGTGAAGAATTATAGAAACAGCGAAAACGGGGTTGAAGTTCAGAAAATTTGATGAAGGAAACAGTTTGGAGGTTTCCCGGTCGACCGGGACCAAGGGTGCAGTCGACCGGAAACGTGCATGCTACAGAGTAGTTTCTGGATCTATGGCCGGTTGACCGTGAGGCTAGGTCCGGTCAACCGCGGACCTTGTAATAGATTTTTGGTTTCTATCATTCTGTCCGGTCGACCGCGATGGTTTCAGCGGTCAACCGCCAGTCAGGTTTGGACCTGATTCTGGTTTCCTATTCTGATTGGGTTTGTGTTTTGATATATATTGAAACACGTTTTTTTAGTGTTTGAGTAAGGTTGAAAAAGGGTTATTTGTTGCACAGAAAAAGAGTTTTCTGAGCAATTTATTTGGGGTTTGTGTGAGAGATTTGAGAGCTTTGTTTGAGAGATTTTGAGTGATTATGTAATCTCTATTTGTACTCTCTTCTCTATTAGTGAAAACCCATCACCTTCTTGCCCCGTGGACGTAGGCAATTAACATTCATAGCGCAGTTTAATAACTAATTCGATGTTTATAGTAATCTATGGGAGCTAGCTAAGGAATTGTAACACTCAAGCAAGTTAATCCTCATCACGGTTTCGAATTGTTGGTTTGACGTAGGAGATCTTAAGAGAACACACGTTTAAAGTAGACTTTAAAAACAATATATTAGCATAAGTTTGGCTCTTTTTTTTAGGTTGGATTCTCGCATCCTTAATTCTAGTATATACCCGTTTTTTCTATATATATATATATTTCGATAGGACGAAAAGCTGTATTTTACTTCAAAAAAAACATCCTTAATTCTTAATCTTAGATAATCTACTAAATAATGAAAATACGGATTCTCTATAATCAATGATATTTCTTTTAGTGCTTTCTAACATTGAACAAAGGGTCCCCTCAAAAAGATATATAAAAAAATTTAAAAAAATTAAAAAACAAAAAAGAGGACAATGGGAAATACGCTTGCATCACTCATTTTCTCTTAAAAATATGAAATTAAGAATCGTTACATGAACCAATCTGTGTTTCAATATATAAAAAAGATGTTTAGGTATGCAGCAATTGTTGGATTTAATCTAATAAATCTATTTGTGGGCACATATAATTAATCAATGTGTATTGCTATCTTTCAGAATAACCCACTAAAGTGATCAATTAATTTGGGTTAATGGGTATTTAAATAAGTCATGGGGTTATATGTGCAAATATCAGGTTGTAATTGTAATTTGATGAGGGGCCAAATTGTAAATGTACAACATCTATAAATAAGGGGTTATGGTCCCTAATATAGGGTTATATTCTCTAATTCTCTTCACCCCCATCTAGAGAGAAATTTGGCTAGAGAAACCCTAAAGTTAGAAGATCCAAAACTCATCTCAAGTTTAATCTATGGATTCAGGTATAAGCTTCCGCTCTTTTCTTTTGATTCTTATAAATCTCTTTGAATTAATCATGACTTTATGGTTTAGACCTTAAGTTTTTATTAGATCTAACAAGTGGTATCAGAGCCAGGTTGATTTGTTCTAAGAGATTAAGATTAAAATTAGGGTTTTTGATCTTAATTGTTTTTAGATTCAGTTTTTAATCATGTGAACAGTAACGGCTGTTGAATTTTTTTTGATGAACAGTAAAAAATTTTAATTTTTTGGATTTTTCTTCGATTTTTCTTGGATCTGGATCAAGAAACTCATTTTTTTCGATTCTGGATCTGTTTTTGAAATAAAATCGAGAAATTCTTTTGGATCTATTGTGTTTTGGTCGTTGATCCTGTGCTCTCGCGCGGCGAAGTGTCGCTGGCGGCCTCGGCCCTCGAACTCCGACCGGCGACGGCGGCGTTAGGAAACCCCTAGGGTTTCGACTTTGTGGTTGCAGGAGCAGAAACGACGGCGGCGGTTTCAGATTTAACCCTCTAAGGGTTCGTGCGTGAAAACGTGCAGGAATTAAGGAGGTGGTTACCTCAAATTTTGGCGAAGCTGAAAGCTTCAAACGAACTTCGCGTTCGTTCTCAAGTGAGCATCGCGCTCAAATTTAACCGAACTTCGCGTTCGTTCTCAAGTGAGCATCGCGCTCAAATTTAACCGAACTTCGCGTTCGTTCTCAAGTGAGCATCGCGCTCAAATTTAACAGAACTTCGCGTTCGTTCTCAAGTGAGCATCGCGCTCAAATTTAACCGAACTTCGCGTTCGTTCTCAAGTGAGCATCGCGCTCAAATCAAACGAACTTCACGTTCGTTCTAAGGTGAACCTCGCGCTCAGTTCTAAGGTGAGCCTCGCGCTCAGTTCTCAGGTGAGCCTCGCGCTCAATTTAAGTCGAACCTCGCGTTCGTTCTTAGGCGAGCCTCACACTCAATTCAAATGAACCTCGTGTTCGTTCTCAAGTTGAACCCTGCGTTCATTTTCAGTCGAACCTCGTGTTTACTTTTCAAACGAACCTCGCGTTCGTTCTCAAGTTGAACCCTGCGTTCATTTTCAGTCGAACCTCGCGTTCATTTTTCAAACGAACCTCGCGTTCGTTCTCAAGTTGAACATCACGTTCATTTTCAGACGAACCTCGCGTTCGTGCTTAAGTGAGTCTCGTACTCAATACAGACAAACCTCGCGTTCGAAGTCAAGCGAACTTCGTGTTCACTATGGGTCCACTTTGGTATACTTAATTTATTCAATTAAGTTATGGGCCCTATTTAAGCTATGGAAATTTAAATTAATTTGGTTTTTAATCAATTATTTAATTCAATTATTATGACACTAAGGTATTAAGGTTGTCTCTCACTCCAATTGATTAATTAAAACAAAAGGTTGCCAAAGTAACCTTTCTTGTGTAGATTGTTCATGAGGAATGTGAGATGTTTTTGTGTATGCTTTCGTGTAAATATTTAATCGGCCCAAAGGAAGATTAATATTTATTTAGACTGTATACACATCTGCGATGATAAGCGTGTGACAATTATAAGGTTTACATGTGAATAATGAATCGATCCAAAGATAGTTTCATTATTTGACATGGGTTATTGTCAATGTTTGATCATTGCAACAAGGTATCACTTACAAGTTAATATTACTGTCCAAAGACTTGATATTAATGTTGTGCCCGATATCTTGGATGGGGACTGTCATTATTTGAATGATATTGATTATGGTTATTGATGTGAGCTTCTTTTGTTTTATTTCAGCTAATGCATCTGCTGCAACAATTTCTGCTAACATCAACTCAATTCCCATGCTAAATGGGACAAACTTCAAGGTTTGGAAAGAGAACATATTAATTGTTCTTGGCTGCATGGATCTTGACTATGCATTAAGAACTGAACAACCCCAACCTCTCAATGCGGATAGCACTCCTGATGCAAAGAAGGAGTATGAGAAATGGGAGCGTTCAAATCGCATGAGTCTTATGATCATTAAGCGCGGCGTTCCGGAAGCCTTCAGGAGCATAGAATCCGAAGGGATTACTAAGGCTAAAGATTTCCTTGCCGAAATTGAGAAGCGTTTTGCGAAAAACGATAAGGTAGAAACAAGCACGCTCTTAGCTCGCTTGATTTTAATAAAGTATAAGGACAAAGGAAATATCAGGGAGTACATTATGGAAATGTCTCATGTTGCTTCAAAGCTTAAGGCACTTAAACTCGATTTTTGTGATGAGTTATTGGTGCATCTGGTTTTGTTGTCTCTTCCTGCATAGTTCAGCCAGTTCAAGGTCAGTTATAACTGCCAAAAGGAGAAATAGACTCTAAATGAGCTCATTTCATACTGTGTGCAAGAAGAAGACAGGTTGAAGCAAGATAAGACAGAAATTGCTCA